GTTTTAAAAAGAAAAAAAGGCTTTAAGACCTTCTTTTCTGGGGTGTGGGCTCCAGTTTTTAATATCTAATCCTTCCTGAATCTACTAGCCCCAGTATTCCTCTACTTATCTCACTTTACTACCAGGGTCCCAATATTTGAAAATAAGTTCAAATTTGCTCCATTTGTGTGTATGGAGATGTAAGATCCACCAGATTTATGAACCTGTCCCATTCAAGGCAAAAAGATAGCTAAATTCAAGGATTTTTATATCACATACTTTGTATGATATTTACCCAGAGATTGGCTTTTAAAGTAACGGATTGGTTTTTTTTTATTTTTATAAAGACTCCTAGGGGCGCCTGGGTGGCTCAGTCGTTAAGCGTCTGCCTTTGGCTCAGGTCATGATCACAGGGTCCCGGGATTGAGCCCCGCATCGGGCTCCCTGCTCAGCGCGAAGCCTGCTTCTCCTTCTCCCACTCCCCTTGCTTGTGTTCCCTCTCTCGCTGTGTCTCTGTCAAATAAATAAATAAAATCTTAAAAAAAAAAAGACTCCTAAAATTATTATACAGTAAAACTAAATTTTTTTTTGGTTTACAGTTCTATGAACTTTAACACATGTATAAATTTCAAATCACCACCACCATAATCAAGATACAGAACAGTTCCATCACTCCCCAAGACTCCCTCATGCTATCATCCACTTAAACTCACCTTCTCCTCATCCAATCTCTAGCAACTGCCCATCTGTTACAATTTTACCTCTATAATTTTACCTTCGGAGAATGCAGGAGGATGTTTTAAGTTTAGATGTACATGCTAAAAGATGTATTACAGCCTATTTAAAAGTAACTGGTCTATCTAGAAATGGGTCAGTTAGTCCTGGCCACATTCTAAATAGTATTTCTGGTCACACAAAATATATTGAATCCTGCTTCAGAAAGCACGACAAAGAAATTTGTCTCTAAGTAAGAATTAATTGGTCCTGCTCTCTTCCTAGTTCTAAGAATATCTTACAAATACTGTTTTAACTATATTCATTGCCAGTTTGATTAGCTTTTCTTTCACCATCAGTTTTTTTCAAAATACTTCTTTTTCTGATTGACTCTTATATGTTCATGCCTATCTATATGATAAACTAATTCTTAAGCTCTAATATGTTTAGCCCTCTTCTCCAGTATCAGATCTAACCTGCCCCAACCCAAATACCCTGGTCCTTATCCCAATCACTTCTTCTATTCATTATTGTTATCACTGCTTCTAGAGGAGTAGGCCTCAATTACCAGTTCACAGATTGGATCTAAAGACATATTTCATGTGAGTCCAATAAATGTTTTTAAAATTATAAAATAAACAAAGAAGGAAGCTCTAGCTTCTCTTGAATACCAGTAAGATTTGGCAATCCTAAGATCCTACTGTCACAAGACAACAATTTATTGAAAATTGAAGCTCCCCACCTTTAGATGGGCATGAGTTTTTCAGGTCACTACTGTCCCCTCCAAACCCTACAGTCCTGTACCAATTCACTTGATTAATTTACACTGTCCATCTACCCAGTCCATCATTTTGGTCTGCAAAGTCCCATTATAAATTCCTTTGGAGCAGAGAATTCTCAAATTTTAACACCTATCACATGGCTAGCACCAAACAGGCACTGAGTGAATAAATGCCACAGGTCACTTAAAAAACAAAACAAAATTTTTTTTTTGTCATTTCTATGCCATTAGGCAGTCCAGAAGTGGGCTGATGTTTTTAGACATCAGCAGTTAGAGTGCTACTTTTCTCTGGTAGAAAAGCCCAAACAGCACAAATTATATTTAGGTTTCAAGGTTTTCCCTGAGGTTTTTCCTAGTTTCCTACCAACTGTTAGAAAGACACTAGTAGGTCTTTTGTAAAATAAAGTGTGGATACTCTGCTTTATGCCATTTTAGCTTACAAGTTTTCTAAGAATGATCTACATTCAGATAGTGGGGGGAATCCTATATCTCTACCTCCAACTAGGCATCTGACCTCAGTTTCTTCATCTATAAGAATGAACTGAGATGGTTGGGGCACTTGGGTGGCTCAGCTGGTTGGGTGTCCGACTCTTGATTTGGCTTGGGTTATGATCTTGGGGTGATCGGATCAAGCCCGATGATACGCTTCACACTCAGTGGGGAATCTGCTTGAGATTCTCTCTCTCCCTCTCCCTCTGACCCCCCCCCCGCCTGTGTGTGTGTGCACGCTTGCTCGCTCTCTCTAAATAAATAAATAAAATCTTTAAAAAGAATGAATTGAGATGGTAACTAGACTTATTGTGGTGACCACTCTGTATTGTACACAAAAACTGAATTATCTTGTACACCTGAAACTAATACTGTTATATACCAATTTTACCTCAATTAAAAAAAAATCAGCTCCCAAAAATACAAATCAGAATCTAAATTATAAAAAAAAGAAGGAATATATTATCTTTCCAAGTCATAAAACTATGTTCTAATATCTGTGTTCTTCTAGGTTACTTTCATCATCTCTTGCAGCTCAAAAGGTTGTCTCTTTTTGCTCCTAAAGATCCTTGAAAACCAAAGGGGGCAGGACGGAAAAAGCTCCCTTCTGAGTTCAGGACTGCCTTGGATCCCTGAAGCACCAAAAAGCCAATCTCAGGACAATCAAGGTTTTGTTTCTAAGGGATTTTTCCCATCTTGTCCTTCATGTTCTAAATTTATTATTTAGATTACTGCTTTGTAAATGGCAAAAACTGTCTTTTCTCAATATATTCCATTTCTATTTATCTGTAACTCAAAACAAAGTGTTAATCAGAGAATATATTTTACAATTCTAAAATATGTCATAATTCATATTTATAATTCATAATTAGGCTTTTAATTTTCTGATTTTCTAAACATCTGCCTCAGTGTTTTGGCTCTTCTTTTACTACCTAAGCAATTTTATTTCCTTCATCATTCTTTCTGTGCTCTTAAAATTCCTAAAAACTGCTGTTCTTTTTCTTTCTTTTTTTTTGTTATACTGCTACTAAGTTGCAGAAAGATCGAAGCTATAAATATGATATGTACAATCAGAAAGAGAACGAAAACTCTTCAACTCTTAACTTACTAAAATGTTTGAATTAAAACCAAAACACAGAAAAAATTAAATACTAAGCTATTTTTACAATTTCCTAGAAACAAAGTTCAAATTCCACAGAACAGCTATTCAAAATAACAAATCAGTGTAAGTAAAAATCCAATGCGGCACAATTTTGATCTTCCCATTGGGGAACAGCTGTGGCTACGAAAGGATATAATTAACATGGCTCCTGAATGTATAATGGCTGTGGAATGATGTTTTATCAATCACTCTTGTACTTAGAGAAAGCTCTAATTTACCTAGTTAGTAATTTAGTTTCCACAACCTCTTAAATCTTGACATCTCTTCTGAGGCTTTCCTATGTTAAGTAATACACCATTTCATTAGTCCTTCCTGGTGACATGAACAGTTCCAGTACAAAATGAAAAAATGCATAAAAAGCAATAAGGTGCTAATACGATGCATTCACAAAATATTTCTAGGCAGAGAATTATCTATAGAGCAGGAGTGGGACCCCAGAATACTTCAAGACCAATCTGTTTAAATGCAAAGCAGTATCTCTCAACCATTTTCGGCCCCAACCCAATTAAAGAAAAGTATAATTATCATTTCATCAGTAATAGTAGCTCACTAACAGTTTGAGGAGGTAGAAAAGGGGATCTCTTACAGGGCGTAGGGGTATGGAGGAGGTAAGATTTCAAGAGATAAGTAGTGCAGTTGTGAATCCCTCCATCCTCCACACTCCCCAAATATTATTATATAATCCTTATACTTCCCTCACTACACAACTACCCCTGACATTTACCCTGTCTGGAATCCCCAACCTAGTACTGGGAAGATGAGAGAAAGCTGAACTGCTTACATTTCAAGAGAATCACTTAAATTCATCATCATTATCAAAATGAAGAATTCTACCATTTTCCTGTTGTTGGTTATTCCTGATATTGCTAATTTTACTTCTGTTTCCTAATTGTTAGGAAAGCTTAAAACAAAAACTCAGAAAACCTTCCAAGGACATGTATTTTACTTATTCAGAAAAAGGGGAAATTTTGTAGAACTTACACAAAATTGCTTACCAGATAAACTTCAAACTCTTTCTCACAGCAATTCAAGAAAATCTTACTAATTGGGTCACAACTTTTCTTTCCTCACTATTTCCCAAACCCGGTCCCCACATTACTGCTTCAGGCGCTCTGAACACAGTAGGTACTGTCCTGTACCTTTTTGTACTTTGCAGCTTCAGTGCACTTTCACCTGGTGGTGTGCTTTCTGGAATTCCACTTAGCCACTTCATGGAATTTTATAATTCAGCAAGGTGAAATGTTATCTGCAGTGTGAAGCCTGACTCTCACAAGCTAACAACCCTGAGCTCCCCATGAATGTTCATTTCTCCTATTACTTGTGGGTTGGACTCTGCTTTATTCATAGGAGGCCCTTAGAACTCTGTCACTTGGCCAACTCATTAATGCTGAATAAATTAATCCTATTCTATTCACCAGAAGGCTAGAAGAGGACTCTTGGTATATCAGTAGAGGCAGAAATGAACCAGAAAGCATGGAACTAGAAATCTCAATCCAATAAAAGGAAAATGTAAGAAGCCACAGGAGTCAGGTTGGATTCATTCCTTCACACTAGCCAGACTTTTAAAAAATGTGCATCTATGTATTAAGCAAATGTCAACAGCTCCCTAGACTGAGAGTTTTGTTTGCCATTACACAACGTTATTGGATGAGCTGCCTCTCCCTGCTCATTGCAGGGTACTCATCAATTATGCCTGCTCTCCTGTACTCATTCTGGCTGAAGCTCATTTTAGCAGAAAACTTAACCTCGGGGAATCTCCCTCAAAATAATTTCCAGCAAATTAAATTATGAGATTGCCTCCAACGTCACGCACTCTGTCAAAAGGATTCATAAACGTAAAATAAACCTAACCGCATAATAGTTTAAATACACTACCTGAGAGAGTAACGATTCCCCTGGGTTGAGGCTGAAACCGCAAATATTTGTTACAAAAGTCCGCAGATTCAAGGGCCAAAAACAAAACATTGCCCAAAAAGTAGCCCGCTGTCTGGCCCACTGAATTGCAAGTAGAAGCATAACCCACGTTTTCCCGGGATAACATTGTTAACGCCCAACCATCCACAGCGATGTCCTGAGTGGCGGCCAGGAATTCAAACAAAAAGAATGTCACAGTGAGAGCAATCACATCGGGGGTTCTACCATCAGTGTTCCCGAGCAATCGGTCCACTTGAGTGGATAAATATATCATGAACAGTCCCAGTATATACTGTGTAGGGACAAGCCAAGATTTGCGACGACCAAAGTTCCTAAAGTAAACTGCATCAACCAACGGGGCCCAGAGCAATTTGAGACTGAAGGGCCAAAAGACCAAACTGAAGAAAGCTTGATCTGTATAGCTAACATTTTTGCTCTGCAAAATGAGTGGGATGCTTCCCGCCAGGCCCAGTGGAATGCCCTGAAGCACGTAAAGAAAAAGCAACAGCAAAATGCTGCTTAATTCGGCCCGGCAACTCCGTGGGGCTTTTGAGAAGTCACCAGTGGCGGTATCCCGCAGAGCTTCTTTGTCCCCTTCCCCGCCCACCAATTCCTGGTGACTGTCATCCCAGCCGCCTGGCAGCAGAGGACCGCTCTTCATATCCAGAGGGTGGTTGAAAGTCCCTGGTCGTCGTTGCCGACTGTTGTCCTTGTGGGAGATGGTGGGTGACATATCAGAGACGATGCAGAGCCCCGTCTGTGGGGTGCCGGGGCTGAGCGTCTTGGATCCGCCTAGTCCCAGGTCCAAGGCTATCGCTCTGGACCAGGGTCTCGATGGTACAGGGAGGAGGAGGACAGGGCAAGGGGTGATAAGGGCACTTCTTACAGTGGCCCGGAGAGCTGAAGCCGGGAGTCAGTCCCCTGGCTGGAGGCTCAGGCGATGCCCAGATAGGCGCCCCTTGGAGTGGCGTCAAGGAGCCTGAAGGAGCCCCCCGGGCAGCCGCGCCGGGCTCGGGGCTGGAGGAGAGGGCCGTGGTGCTACGATGGAAACGGGCCCTTGGCTGCGGCGAGACCGAACGGCCAGTCTCCCGACCCACCTCCAGTTCTCGCCGCCACCACTGCAACAGCACTTTCTCCACAGGACTCCAGAGAGACCAGATAACTTCCTGCCTCGCGCCTCAGGAAGTGGTCCTAGACTCAAATGAGTCCTGTCCCCGCCTCCAGAGCAAGCCAATCAGGGCATGCTTCCGAGGCCGAGTTCGGAAACAACGCTTGGTAGGAACCCGCAACTCCGGCGACCAGGACCTCATGGGAGGATTAACGCGGGAGCACCATGCGGCCTGGGCGGGGCGCCGCGCGAGCTCTGTCTCTATGAGCGCATGCGGCCGTCTGGAAAGCGTGGGCCTCGGTAATTGGGCCCGCGCGGCCACGTGAGGGCTGTTTGAGGCAGGCCTGTGCAGGTGGCCGAGTGAGCACACCGTCGAGCCTCTGAAGGTGGGGGCTGCTGTGCTAGCGCTTGTCGCTAGCCTGGGGTAGGGCAATGCTCGGGGCCAGGAATTGTGTGATGCCCCTGCTTGGGTGGGCCAGACAGAAACGGGGAGGAGAAGAATTGAAGTTTACGCAGTGTCTTTATCAGCAGGCAAGGGTGCCCCCCCAAAAGGTAGTAAGAGACCTGGTTAAATGGAGAAATGCGTGTCTCAACAGTGCCTGCTTTTTTATGGAATGATTGAAACTGCTCAGAGGTGCGAGATTTCTCTGTAGTCCGTTTTTTTCCAGTGTGGTGGAAGAAATGTAGTGGAACTGGGATCTGGGTAACTAACTCGTTACATTGGGTGGATTGGAATCATAAGATTCCTTCCCTCCCTCTTATTGTTGATAAAAGGGCTTGTAAGAGCCAAATATTAAAGTTTTGTTTCATGTTAACTCGATATATATGCAGTATTGAGATGATAAGAGAAAATAACCTTAGGGAACCAATAGCATTAATTGTATAGGAAATACCTATAAAGTTTTACATATGTTTATTTATATTACATACTATTTTCCAGTGGATAGCGGATACTGAAAACAACTTATGCTTAAAAGTTAAACATACCAAACCTCACACCATTTAAAAGATAAAATATGTTATCGCTGGCCTCTCCCAAATAGTCAAATGTTGCAATAACTTCTCCATCTCAAAATTTAAGAAGGAAAAGGTTGGTTTCCTGAAGATGGACATTAAAATTTGAATAAAAAGTTAACATTTATGGGGCACCTGGGTCGGTGAGTGGTTAAGCATCCAACTCTTGATTCCTGCTGTGGTCATGATCTCAGGGTAGTGAGATCAAGCCCCCTGTGGGGCTCCACACTCAGTGGGGCGTCTTCTCAAGATTCTCTCTTTGCCTGTTCTACTCCCCTACTGGTGTGTGCACTGTCTCTCTCAAATAAATAAACAAATCTCAAAAAAAGTTACACTGTTAATTCTTTCTTTTTCTTTCCTTCCTTCCTTCTTCCCTCCCTCCCTCCCTCCCTTCCTTCCTTCCTCTTTGAGAGAGAGAGAACAAGTGGTGGAGAGGTGCAGAGGGGGAGAGAGAATTTTAAGCTGGCTCCAGGCCAGCAGGGCCTGATCTCATGACCCCGAGATCATGACCTGAGCTGAAATCAAGAATCTGGTGCTTAACTGAGCCACCCCAGTGGCCCTGAACCTTCATTCTTTAAAGAATGGCTTCAAAGTCCACAAACTTGCTGAAAGGTTTTTTTAAAGTACATAGGCATGGTAAGTTTTAGTAAATACTTGTTGAATGATGTATTATATATTAGAAAGTTTACTACGGAGCTATGTAAGTGGAAATTATTTTTATTTCACAACTCATTACAAATTATTCATTCTGTCTCATCCACTTAAATATTGTAAAATAGATTTTTCTGTATTCTTCATCTTGCCCTAGGATCTTTGGGGTAGTCACGATTAAATTCCATTCCATTTTTATATAATTAGAGAATTTTATATAAATAGAGAATTAGAGAAGAAAAATAAGTTCCATTATTTTTGAAAATACGATGTATTGGCAAACTGAATCTTTGCTTTTCCAAATGTTGTTGTTGACTTACAGCTTTCATTATTACTATTAAGAAATTTTCATCAGATTTTGTTTATTTGTAAGTAGCTTGTTCTGTCTGGTGTTTGTAAGGTTTTTTTTTCCCTCTAATTTCTAGATATGTCCTTATTTTTTAAAATCTTAATCCTTCTTGGGTATATTTATCATCTATTGTTGGGTTACATATTATTCCAAAATTTAGCACCTTAAAACAATGATCATTTTATCTCATAATTGCTACTGGTCAGGAATTCAGATATGGCTTAGCTGGATGGTTCTGGCTAAGTATCTCCAATGAGGTTGCAGTGAAGATGTGAGCGGGGGCTTTAGTCATCTGAATGCTTGGCTGGAGCTGGAGGATCCACTTCCAACATGGCTCAATCACATGGATGTTGGCAGGAGGCCTCAGTTCCTTGTTATGTGAGTCTCTGTAGAGCTGCTTAGGTGTCTTTCTGAAATGGCAACTGGCTTCCCTCAGAGCAAGTGCTTTATGGGAAAGAACAAGGAAGAAGTTACAATGCTTTTAAGATACAGTGTCAAGAGTCACATACTTCATCATATTCTATTAATCACAGGCAAGTCACTAAGTCCATCATACCCTCAAGGGAAGGAGAATAAAGTTTTACTTCTTGAAGGGAGGAATATCAAAGAACTTGTAGATATACTTTAAAATTGTCATACTGGGAATCAGTGAACCATGTCAATCTTTTCTCAAGGTCAGGGAAGTATTCTTCTATTATTTTAAGAATTACATGTAATTTTTATTTCTATGCAGATTTTAAAGGGTTTTTAAATTGAGAAGTTCTCATGAAGGAAATGGTGCAGCTCTGGCTAAACTCAGGCGGAGGTGCCAATGGAAGGGTATTGGTGTATTATAAATCTCATATATGTACCACACCAACCATGACTGTACTTTGGTCATCCTGCCTTTCTGATATTCAAAACAAACCTCAGTAACTCATCATTTTTAAAAGCCCAGTTAACTTACCAGGAGTCCAGGACACAGGAGTCAACACTGGCTAAAAGTTTCTAAACTAAAACTTGTGATCATACTGATATGACACAACTAAGAAAATCAACAGACTAATAGAAATTTGTTATCTAAAATCACTCAAAATAAAACAATTGCCCTTGACTTTTTACAGGCCAGCCGAGAGAGTCCATATACTAGCTAATATATCTTGTACCCATCAAGAGAAGGTGAAACAATTAGTTTTTTTAAAGGCCATTTGGTTAACTAAAGTTGATCAAATTGATCCTTGATATTTATTCTCAAGTTAGGTGCAGAATGACTAAAAAATTAAATACAAAATAGTTTCCAAATGTCTCATGATATTTATGATTGTCTTCATTCTTTATGCCTTTCCCCATCATCTGCCAGAGTTTTGTTTTTGATTTTTTTTTTTTTTTAAGTAAGCTTTACACCCAACATGGGGCTTGAACTTAGGACCCTGAGATCAAGAGTTGCATGCTCTACCGACTGAGCTAGTTAGGTGCCCCATGCCAGACACGTAAATATTACTACATGTCTACCCAGAGCTGACATTCAGCTAATACCACATCAAAAAGAGACCAACTCCTTTTCAGTCAAGTGCTCTCCTATCCTATTTTGACCAAAAGCAGGTTGGAGGTGAGGGACGGGTCAGGAAATTCTGATATGGAATATGGGGTAATCTTGGTTTAACTAATGTGTAGGTAACGATGTAATGCTGGTCATACATAATATATTCTCCATATTTAAACTCTCAAGGCTTTCTGGAGGATCCATAAATAACTGAAATTGATTTCCTTGAACCTGATGTGGCAGTTTTAAAACATAGCTTCCAAAGTCTTTATCACTTCTCCCTTTGAGAGGTGGAGCCTCTGTCCCTTCCCTGGAATCTAGGCTCTCTCACTGACCAACAGAATACAGCTGAGATGATGCTGAACTAATTTCCAGGTCCAGATCTTAAGGATCTGGCAGTTTCCACTTACTGTCTCTTGAGACAATCTTTTGGAACTGAGTACTATGCACTGAGGGTAGAACTATTTGGAAAGGAACTAAGGCCCATAGCTCTCAGTTGCTGCCTGAGCTGCCAGTCAGCAGCAGCACACTTGGTTGCTCTGTGTGAGCTACATTGGAATTGAATCCTCCAGTTGCAAGTTAAGCTCTGCTTGCTGATGCCACATGAAGCAGAAATAAGTCTTCACTGCTAAGCCATGCCCAGATTGTTGTTTCTTTCTTGGAAGACCTCATTGTAGTCTTGTGGGACAGACTGAAACACTTCCCTGCAAACTGAGGCATGCTGTCCCACTAGGCTCTCAGGGTACCTCAGCAAATGTGGAGCAACTCTCACCATGAAAACAAGACTGACACTGCATGGGACCTTTAGCCACTACTATTACGAACAGCTGTTCCTTTTGAATACTCAATGCCCTTTACTCACTTCTGGTAATATTCTTTTTCCTGGTCTTCTCTGATTGAGGTGTTCTGGTGAATCTGGTGAAGCTGCCAAACACAAACCCCTCCTGGTGGTAGCTACAATCTCTTCTTGCTTTCAATTGCTCCACTCTGTACTTTCCCATTCTCCATTGCGCATGCCTGAATGACCAAAAGGGTGAACACAGGGTCCATTCTAGGCCTTTCTGAGTCCACTGTATGGATTTGCTAAAATTTACCAACCAGTCTCATATTGATGATACGGTCCATTTAGGTTCTTTCTAGTTTGATGGTTTGTTTCACTATCCCTCCATACACACATATATTTTAGAAGTAAAATTTCTGGGTGAAAATGTGTATTTAAAATGTGATAATAGGGGCACCTGGGTGGCTCAGTCGTTAAGCATCTGCCTTCAGCTCAGGTCCTGATTCCAGGGTCCTGGGATCAAACTCCACGGGAAGCCTGCTTCTCCCTCTTCCGCTCCCCCTGCTTGTGTTTACTCTCTGGCTGTCTCTCTCTCTGTCAAATAAATAAAATCTTTTAAAAAAATTAAAAAAAAATAAAATGTGATAATATTGTCAATAGCCCTAC